TCTTTAATCCACCTGTTTCGAGTGGACGTGTTTGGTACTTCAACAACCCAAAGGGAGTCAACCATGGGCTGCAACCCTTTCGTGTCCTTTAGGTTTGGCCCCAAGGCGAAGAATCTCCGACGGAAGGTGATAGGAAGGGCTGGCTCCATAAAAGTGACCTGCGGCACCAAAAGCGAGAGCCGAGTGCGGAACATGCGTTTCTCATCTCCAGTTCTGTATGTTTCAGGTTGAAACATATGAAAGGTGTTAGGTCAGTTGAACAAACCTGCTGGGTCCCGTAAAGTGAGCATCTTGAGGTTCTCAAGTTTCTTTGGGGGGGCTTTCCTCCAAGGTACAATGATCCAAGCCGGGCTACCAATGTGACTCTGACACTGACAAGGTGGACCCTGCAGCGTTTGATGTTTCTTCTTTGGCCACAACTAGTGCCCGGTTAAGCTTCTTTCTTAGGGGAGGAATCCCCTACTAAAATAGACTACCGAATAAAAAAGTTGGTACCAACTTATTCCAACCTCTCTACTGGAGGACCTGGACAATTTTAAGAACGACGCACTGTTAACAAAACCTCTCCATGCGGCAGGCTCCACACCTGCAGGCCGGTTCGTCGTCGGGTTTTGGACCCATGGGCACAAGGAGAAAGAAACAATGGCCTCGGCTCCTCTCTCTTTTTCGGAGCCCCCAGAATTGGGTGGCTTGACAAATTGTGTGTGTGTGTGTGTCCTTTCAAACCATCCGTTGATCCCTGAGACCTCAGTTGGCGGAGAAGTTTGTATCCAAGTGACTTGCACCCTGCACTATGTTGCGGCCGTATTTCTGGGCAGATAGCCACCCTCACTGAGGGCCGATGATGAAGGTGTGACCAGGATTTCTGGTCGGTGAATTGCTGTTGTGGATGCTCTTCTGAGTTCGGCCGAGGTAACTTGACCTGTTGAACGGTGAAAGTCTCTATTCCACAGTCCAGTTTAAACCACTTTTTTGGCTTCCCTTGAAGGGGAACCGAATCGGGCTGCTTGTTTCAATACATTTCGAAACCCTCCTTCCCCGCTTTGACCCATCTCCGCAAGGGCCTGGTGCGCTCGGCAAGGGCGCAGGCGGGGATGCATTTTCATAGCTTTGGGTCGCTCAAAAGATGAGAAGAGGGTTGTGTCCTTGAACACCATCTTTAGTTTGATTGTAGGAGCAAACTGTTCGTAATTCAGACCCTATTACTGAGGCCTACCCTGTCTCCCAATCATAGAAGTGAACAGGGGGCCGTTTCAAGAGGACTATGCGAGGCAAATACATGCAAGGTGCTTGTCCCGAGAGACGATTGGGTTGCGGTTTGGTCTTGCATTTTCTCCGGCAAAGTGTGCAATCAAGAAATCCATGCTTCGTGGAAACCATCTACAGGAAATTATACTGAACAATGTCCATGTACCCACCCAAAACATGGTTTTAATTTAGAATTTCCTGCTGCTGGTTTCTTGGACTCCTCGTGGTGACATCACATTGATAGCCGACGTCTCACATATGGCTAGTGACGGCGATGGTAGAAGATGGCCAAGCTGTTTCCAAGATCTGATTTCGCGCGGGCCGGTGCTAGAAGCATGGCTTGAGTGGAGGTTGGGCCGGAGTCATCCAAAACCTGCGTAAGCTTCCATGATTGCCGGAGAAATGGCAAAACGCCCTTGTGGGGAACAAAGGTTTTGTGGCCAGCTTGAAAGCCAAAGCAAGTCGTCGTAGTGGAATGTGTGTAATTGGTTCGCCTCATATTTTAGGTTGGCTACCTCCAGACCCTAAGTAGTGTCACTTCTCTCTTTCAGATGGAACCAAGCACTCTTTTAGAATCCTTCATTTCTGTGGTTTCGTTAGTTTCCTGTTCTCTTTCTTCAGTTGGCGGGTTTACTTTGGCTCACTTTCTCGATGTTTTGGCTGGGCATTCTTCGGGTTTCGGCTTCAGTTCTTCTCCCAACTCATCCCGGTCATTGGGTCGACTACGTTTCGTATGGTGGGTTTCCTCTTGGCTTCGAACTACCAGCCTTTGTTAGAGGGCGGTCGGGTCCCAAGAAGGCCACCTTCACCTCAAGGCCAGCGCCCGGGTCCCAAGAACAGCATCTCCAACCATGCAACCGACACTCCAACGTCTCAAAAGCAGTGCTTGGGACCCGGGGGCTCGGGTTTTGCACCCGGAGAAGGCCAAAGCAATCAACCTTTGTCTTGGAGTCCAGGGGAGTAGCCGGTCAGGCAATGCGCTGAGACGGAGACCGCTGCGAGGACGCATGCTGCTCGGATCTGTATTTGGGTGTGCCTCAATGGGGGGTTTCCTTTTGGATTTTCTTTAAACAGCCTCAAAAAAGTAGCCGACGCAGAAGGCAAAATTCGGCGGTTTGGACTGGCGTGTTATCTTTAAACAGCCCCCAAAAGGCTGCCATCAACAAAAGTCACGCTTATTTTGCTTGTCTTAAGCTTTGTTCCCGGGATGGAGTGTCGGTTCGGGCAAATGAATGAGCAGAATCTGTGTGCGGGGGTCTTTCAGTTGGAGGCCTAGCAACCTGGGTGCTACAAGACCTCCAATTGCTTGCCCACAAATGAAACCCAGAGCTGGAGAACTGATTTTCTTGGCGGTTCGGAACCAGCGAATCGTCCGTTTCCTCAGGTTTATTGTAGTTGCTTTTGGTTGACTTAGGGTTTCCATTTAAGCCACAAGTTATTCACTTTTAGCGGGGGATCTCAAAACGGACGGCCCGGTCGTTTTTTCATGCATTTATTAATATGCAGATCCCCAGTCGGTACAGGCCTCTCGCCTCGCTTGCGGAAATGTTTGAGCAGTGGACTTCACATCCGCGGGATCTCTTTGCCACCCCTGTTCTCTCCCTTAACAAGACCTTAGGGTCCTGCTTGGGGGAAGCGGGGGGGCTTTAAGGAGTTGGGATCCTAAGATTTATCGGATGAAATGGGTTCACACATTAGGATTCACTCATGGGGGGGTTATTGAGGTGATGTCTGGTTGTGATTTTATGCTGAGCATTGTATAGGACGGTATCGCAACTAATACGCGTTACTCTATATGCAGGATATCGGGATTCCACAATGCTACAGAATGTTGCAGAGTTCGCCTGGGAAGGAAGCAGTATGAAATTGGTCTACTGATGCTGTGGCTGATGCACTCGCCATTCAACACCAAAGAATACTGACGACACTCCTTGAAGATCGTGAACGTATGACGTTTTCCGGGGTTAAAGTCGGAAACTGGCGCAGTTTTCCTCTGTCCCTACTCAAAGGCTGACTTCGAGGCAACTAAGTGCTTCATGCTTCACTTGTCCTCTTGATCAAAGTATACCTGACCCTGCTGTGCACATGACCCGAAACCTACGCCTCGCCCTGCGCAAGCGCCGCGCCTGCCACGATCTGTACTTGAACCTGCGAAAGCGCTATGCCTGCCTCGAAATCTGCATGCGACCCTGCGAAAGTGCCGTTGCGGCCACAAATTGCAGCCCGGCCCTCGCGCAGTCAAGTACGAAATCTAGACCTGACCTTGCGAAAGTGCTCCCGTCATGCAAACTAATGTTGCGAACAGCGTTTGCGTTCGTGCCAATGGGCCGGGCTCCGAACGCGCTCCCCCTCCGACCAGGCGCTGCGATCAGGCGAACTTTCCCCCGCCACGCACGAGAAGCATTTGTTTGCTTCTTCTTCTTCTTCTTCTTCTGCTTCTGCTTCTTCTTCTTCTCGTGTCATCTTTTCAAAAAGTGTCCGTACCAGGGAAGTTCCTTTAAACTGTCTTGCTTAAACCTCTACACCTGCTAAAGTTAGTTTGGTTATAAATCAAGTCTAATTGCTGGGTTTGTCGCCCCATTTATCGCCAAAGCCGGCCAAGCATCACCGCCAGGTGGGCGCGGTTCGGAGAAAAGTGGCGGATGTGAACTTGGCCCATGGCAGGTGTGTCTCGAAGTAGGAATCGGAACCTGCACAAGTGGTGATGTCCCTTCCTTTTTCCCAGTTTAGGGCAGCCCAAAGAAGGGCATCTTCAAAAATTATTGTCTGAATTGGTAGTCGGAGAACCTGGTGACGTGGAAATACGCACCCACCATAAAACCTCACTGGCTCCTGGTTTGGACCGTTCCTTTGGCGCACCAGTCGGATCTGTTCAGATCTTGACACAGTTGGGTGGGTCAGTAGATGGCACAATTCTAATCCGTGTTGCTTGAAAGTCATCCCCATGAACTCATTCCATGGAATTGTGCACTTTCACCCTGGTGCATTGACTGATCCACCTCAAGGAGGATCTCATGAGCGACCGACAGCAACCGCATTGTACTTTGGTTGGCAAGAATCTCAGGGTTCTTCCCCGAGAATTAGATGCGAATCCTCAATCTGACGAAACGCTGGAAAGCCACTGCTCTCAGTTGCCGATAACTTCAAGAAAGGTCTCTGTTTTTTGATACATGCCTGAAATACTGTGGATGGACGAAATCCTGCACCACCTAAGAAACCCTGGAATGATGATTCCTCTGTAAATACCGACAAACAATGGTACAAACAATGGTTTTCTATGGTTTCAAAATGGTGCGAAATGGATTTCGCAACCATCCACAGTACCAAGCCATATGTCAAGCCCTGTGATCTCCAATTTGTTCTTCACCCGCGCTCCTTTTCCGATGTTCTCCTGCTATTGCCTCCTTTTCTGTCCCGGAAACCCCGCCCACGCATGGCCTGGTACCGCGCTCGAACCGAACCGGCGTGGTGTGTTTCTCATGGTCAGAGCAGATAGGCTGGCTTCAAGAACAAGGCCATGATATAGATGTTCCCAAGATTGGGGACGCCCATCCTTGAGAGACAAATAGGAAAGTATTTGTTTCGCCCACCATTTGGAGGAGTACCTACAAAAAACTCTCAAATGGGTGATTCTCAAAGTGCCAGAAATTCAGGCGCAAGCTCTGGTGAATTAGACGCATGTCCTTTGGTGCCCTTGTTCAATATCTAGGAACACCGTGTTTGCATTGTTTTTGATAGACGTCCATCGCTCACAAAACTCGGGTTTTTTCTCCCGCTTGCGCATCATGTGATCGATGACTCGGTGGGAGGCGGGCAGCGTCGCATCTCACCTGTTTGCAAGATGAGCCAGACTCAAAACGGTAGATGAAGGCGAGTAAGTGACAATCCCAGCCATAGGTGCGGCCAGCTTTCAAGTTACGTTCATTGCTTTGGGTACATCTTGCTACGCAGGTGTTGACCTAGAGGAAGATGATTGAGGCTTGGGAAGCACAGCTACCGGGACTCGAGGTCTTTCCACTTCGGGTCAACTAAAAGCCATGGCCGTGGTATGTGAAATCGCAGCACCTCGGTCCTCGCAAAGCGGCCGGCTTTGCGGCCACTGTTATGGAAAGCCAGAGACACATTCCACCAACTCCTCCTGGAATCCACACAGTCCTACACCGAGCAGTGACTCAAAGAGCAGTGCAAGTCATGCGCAACTGCACGAAAGGCAAGATTCATGGACGCATGGTACCTTTGGTGCCACTTTTCACGCTGATCCAGCTTCTTGAACGCTTCCAAGCTCTGCGCCACATCCTCTCTCTCGTGGTTGTTGTTGGGACACATTTTACATTTTTGCTTATTGTGGTTTAGTGGTTGAAATCCAACCACTGAACTGCTGAAATTTAAGTTGTTGCTCCCCAAACCCAACGTCAACCAAGCTCTCTCCCTCTGCGTGTGTCTCTCTGTGCTGAAATGTAGACTTTTGAAAGGAAGGCTTCAGGCCCAGCCATTTTGTACACGAGAGCATGCCTTGACTGAGAAATGTAGCCCAAGGGGCGCTGGTTTGGATCCGTTTTTGGAGCTGCATCTTGGAGTTGGTTTCCTTTTAGGGTTGGCCTTGACTCGGGTTTCTTTTGAACAGTGACACTTGCCCAAATCGCCAGCAAACAGTCACACTTGCAGGGACTATGTTCGAGGCCCAGGTTACCCCAATAGGGGTTGGGGAAGGGTGTTGTTGTTCAAACGGATGAACAAGTCCACGGTTGTTGGGACTGGGACAAACCAGTCTGAGGGAGTGTTCTTCTTTGAAGGGGGGCGGGGCACAAAACGCGGACCAAGGGGGGGGGGGGGGGGGGGGTCTTGCCAAACATCATTTGTCCGAAGAATACAACTGGGTCCTTCTGGCTCGATCCATTTGTCAAGGTCCAAGAAGTTCAGCCGTTGACTTCCACAGTTCAAATATCGCCTTTGCCAAATTGAAGTGACTTTCTCCTGATGTTTAAAGTCACACCCTACTTGGTGGTTTGGGCTGGTTTGGAAATTCGGGCTGCCTTCATGTGCTTTCCGCAAACTGCGTGCTAGGTCTTCACCACAGAAAACAGGAAACAGATGGGCAATTGTCTAGCTTCACCCATTCAATTAATCGAGAATCCCATATCCGCGTCTTCCCGGGAACCTATCTCTATGGCTATTTGGTAACGGATCTTTGGACTTTAACTGTTCGGTTCAACAGCTCGGACTTTCCCATTCTTCCATTGGACCCATCAAAAAATTCAGATAAAGTGTTCGCAGAGGGGTCGTTGCAAGCAGCCACCAAGCTAGTGCCCCAGGCCGCCGAGTGGGGCCAAAGACGCCTTGAGCGCATCACTGCAGCGGAGGCGAAGGGCCAGCCGCGGGTTGCCGCATTGCCGGAAGCCGATTTTGGGCGCACGGCGCACTTTTTCAAGACCCAGTCAAGTGCCCCGTGTTTCTTATGGAATTCCCTTGCGGTTGAGAAGTTTGAAGTTTCCGATGCTGTTCCTGTTGAGTTGTTCTTTCTGATTGGCCCCGTTCTTTTTCTTTTTTTTTCCGGATGCGGTGCTCTTGAGAGAGGTTCTTTGCTTGTTGTACAGCAAGTGTTGGGACAAGTCTAAATGAGTTTCCTTTTGGCGAGGTAGTGTAAAGGGGAATAGAAGGAGCCCTTTTTGTCATGCAGGTCTGGGTTTGGGTGGTCATTGGCACCGTTTTTTTCCTGAGGAAGCGATAGGCGAGGTGTTTCTGCCATTCCCAAGAAGTTCTTTTTCGGGAAAGATTCTATATGGAAAGATTCCAAAATGTTCTAGAGGCAAGGCTTCCAAGGAGTGTCCCACTTGCGACTTGCCTGGAAAGCTCAGGGGGTGGTGTGAGGGAAGTTCTTTTGCATTGCATCCGACACATACGCAGTTGGCGCCCTGAATGAGATCACGGACCGAGCAATGCAAGCGCAGGCGCAGGCGCAACAACAAGCTTTTCGCCGACCACATCAGCATGCCACACAGGGCAACACAAGGCCAGCCACACCCTTGGCCCATGCATCCGTTTACACATGACAAAGCCACTGCGTAAAGAACCTCTCGGGGCCTTGTTGAAACTTGTGCCCCAAGCGAGTATCCCATTCTCAAACAACCAAGATGGCCCCATGTTCATACAGAATGCGTGTCATAGCTTCCAGATTTGGACCCTTCATGGGATTCGGGGTCTCTTTGGTTTCCGTTTTGAAACAAACGTTCTAAACAATCGCCAAGACAACCCTCCCGATGCCGCCCACGAAATTGCCGGAAGACTCGGGCAAACAAAACTATATCTGCAGTGTGCAATCCGGAAAAGTTCTAATGTTCGTCTTGTTTTCACTGGGGTGCTGAATTCTGGGACCGGCAAATGGTCATTAGATAGATAGATTCATACATAGCAACAAAGAAAGAGATAAAGAAAGAAAGTAAGGAAGAATAACAGAAGAAAAGAAAGACATAGATAGAAAAGCAGAAACGTAAGAAAGAAAGAGAAAGAAACCAGAAATATAGACAGATACAAAGATAAAAAGCAAAACAGAAGAAAAGAAAGAAAGAGATAAAGATAGGGAAAAATAGAAAGATGGAAAGAAAATCAGAACAACTAGAAAGATGGAAAGGAAAACAGGAGAAACGGAAGAAAGAAAGAAAGAACTATTACGAAAGGAAAGATAGAAAGATAGACAGAAAACGGAAGAAAAGAAAGAATGACAGATAGAAAAAGAGAGATAGCAAGGTAGAAAGTTGGAGAGGCAAGCAGAAGAAAATCAAAAGACAGAACAAGAAAGAAAGAAAGAAAGAAAGAAAGAAAGAAAGAAAGAAAGAAAGAAAGAAAGCAAGCAAGCAAGCAAGCAAGAAAGAGGAGAAAACAAGATAGGAAGATAGAAAGAAGAACAGAAGAACAGAAAGACAGGAATTGAGATAGAAAACAGAAAGATAGAAAGATAGAAACAGGAAAGAAACACAGAAGAAATAAGAAATAAATATTTAAAAATAAGATAGATAGACAGAAAAACAGAAGAAAATAAAGAAATGAAGAAGGGAAGAACAAAAAAATATAGTGAGATTGAAAGACAACCCGCGAAGGAAAGAGAACAACAAATAAAGATAGAAAACATAATGAGAGAAAGATGGAAAGAAAAACAGATACAAAGATAAATAAATAGATAGATCAAATCCATCCCCTTTCGGTACCGCGTCTCGGTTTGTGTTTTCCAGCCCAAGCTAGGCGCGCCGCGCTGAGCAGCGAAGGGGCCAGCTCACAGAGGAGCACACATTTCAGCCCAAGGCGCCTCGACCACCAAAAAGAGACCGGGTCTTGGTGGGGATGTGAGAATAGACATGAAAAATGCGACAAAACACTGGTAAACCAGAAAACTACATCCCAGGGAGCACCCCTTCTGACCAAAAAAGGGGGGTCCTCAAAAGCTCAAAAAGCACCAGGTGGTTTTTCATTTAAACTTGCTGGTGCGAGAGATGCAGGGAATACAAGTTGGAATGACCCTAAACCATCATACTGGCGCGTATTTTGAGCAAAGCAGTTCTGCTGCTAGGTATCCTTTCACCTTGGGTTCATGGTAGAACCAAAAGTCAATGAATTTGGGGCGCGGCTCAAATGCCCCTACCAATGTGTTGGAGATGGTCCAGAGACGTTTGTTGCCATACCCCTTGAGGGATATCTTTAACCAGATTTAGTTTAACCAGTTGTTGCGTAGGGTGCTAAATCGCAACCATAATTATTGATTGTCCGCAGGGGAAACTGAAAGGCATCAGGCGATTACCCGCCCGCAAGTGTTGTCACGATTTCCATCCCACCGGCCCGTGGTTTGAGGCTTTTCACGTTCACGAGAGCACTCAGTTGGCCTGAAAGGGTTCTTCAAAGGGCAAACACTCACGTGAACGGGAACTGAAAGGGTTTTGCAAAGGGTAAATACAAATTCCGGACTGAGCCGCCGCACGTTTAGACTTTTGCCAGCCATACCCTTACCGACAAAAGGTTTGGCTTTGAGCATGGGATCAACAAGGGTTGGTTTGTGTGGCCTCTGGTTTGGTGCTTGTGACAGGTCGGCTGTTGCATTTTGAGAGGACCCCCTGAAAAAAGCGCCCTTCAGATTCATCCAAGGTTGAAGTCGTTTGAACATCAGCTCATGTGGGGTTTCAGTCAAGGTAGGCCAAAGCAGCCGGTTAGGTTCCGATGTGTATGGAACCAAAGCTACCCAGCTCTGCAAAGGACCTGAAACAAGGTTCGTCCGCCGAACCTGGAATGTCAGATGTGGCAACAGATGTGTAGCGGGGCCATGTCAGATGCACCATGCACTGTTTGCGTTCTCGGCATTTTTCTTTCTTTCTTTCTTGAAAAGGACACAATCAACTCTGTAGGGCGTTTTCGAGATATACTGGACCCGTTTCATGTTCTTCCACCGGACGACACACAAAAGTGTGTCGTTTTGTCGTTGGGTGCTAGAGTTGTCAGCTGATGGATTGCTATGACCAGCTTTCCATGTGAGCCGGGGCTCCGAGTCTCAGACGTTGGAGTGTGGGCCGAACACCGCCCCCTCAAAAACGACATGAGTTTCTGGTCCTCTCTGAATGCCCTGCAGGCGCCCAGAGGACGGCCTGATTGGGGGAAGGGGGGGAAAAGGGGGCAGGATTCGGCACTCCGAGTCCTTGGCCATTGGAATGAAGTCCTTACAGAAGTTGAGCGAGATGCGGCAAGTGAATGAGCCTGTCTCAAAGTTGGGTTGTGTCTTGTTGCCTTTCGGGCTGGGACTGCAGTGAATGCTTAGGAAGAAAAAATCCAGCGAGCAAATGCGCTCCAATCCCCACTTTGGTCGGGTAGCCGGGATTTGTGTGGGTTGTGTTCTTCTGGGCTTGATAAATGCCCTCACACATGGTCCTTGAATGCCGTTTTGACAGCACGGTAGACGTCTCCATTGCACAACACGACCCCGAAAGATTTGCCTCACAAGCCCTAGTTTGCACCTACACTTTTCAGAACCCCACAAGCGCAATGCTACAACAAAGTGTTGCCCAATTTGCTGAGTTGTTTCCTCTCGTTGCCAAGTTCCGGCAACCTGAGCGGCATGTCGGTTATCCGATGTCTTGCTACGGACCTGGGCCTCTTGTCGCTTGCTGAGATGTGCAGTTCATTTGACACCAACACGAGGCTATGACTGGCTGTCAAGCTTGGCAATTTCATGGCTACAGAAGCCATCACCTATCTAAGTATAGTCGGTGTTTTGAGTTCGGCAGTCTCATGTGGCTGGTGCGGGGTTGGAATTCCTTTCATACGGCTTGAAAAGCTCGGCCATCTGCAAGCACTGTAAAGTCCACGCGCCAGACTCTGAACTCGAAGTTGCCCTGTTGACAGAAGGCCCAAAACGGCTTCCCAAAAAATCCTCTGCACTCACAGCTTCTCGTTCTTTGCGCATCACTGCGCTCCGATCAACTTGCTATCAGTGAGCCCCAATTTTGGTCTAATCAGAGCCCCGGATTCCTTCCTAGTACTGAAGGATTTCCACTGCAAGTGGACACTTTCCGATTTTATCAGCCACGGGTCCATGCATCCGGGATCAGCGCGAGTTTCACTTATCTTCTTCCCAACTAACCTTGTGTGCCCTCTGGTTGCAAGTGAGAGGGGAAAAGGCTCACCTGTACGTGAAGTGTGTGTTTCACGAACTCACCCATGACGATCCCTTACTTGGGCATCGTTGATTTCTAGCACAGTGATTTGCCCGGATAAATGTCATAGACTCCAAGAACCGCACATCTATCAACAGCACTTTCTCAGGCGCACAGAGCTCGAGCCAGCCGTCCAAGGAGCGTGGGGATGCGATCAAAGACTTTGCATTGCCAGACTTAACTAGGTCCCCCAGCTTTTACCGTTTCTTTTTTGGGGGAGGGTTCCCCTGCTAAAATAGACTACAGAAAAACAGGGTACCCCTATTCTAACCTCTCTACTGGAGGACCTTGTAAATAATATCTTTCTCACTTGCCCAAAGCACAAAAAAAAAGGCGTTCAGTGTCTCCCTTGTTATTGCCCGTTGGCCCCGTTTGGGGGCCTCCTTCAGGATGTGTTCGCAGATTGCGTTCGTTTTCCGTCCCTCAGCAAAACAGTGTTTACACTCTCGGGGGTTTGCGGAAACCGGGGCATATCGCGGTTGGTTGGAGAAATGGACATAAAAAATGTCAGTTGAAGTGTCGCCCAAACACCCCAGGCACCTACCCTTGGTGTTTTTGGTCGTTTCTCGGACCCGAGCTGGATTGCTCTTCCATGAGAGAAGGACGGTTGCCTAAGCCGACAAGAATCTTGGTTGTCGTATCCCAAAGTGTCGGCTTAGAGTCGCGATGCCCCAAATGTTTGTACCAGATCTGACCCCAAGCATGCATGTAGGCACCCAGGCAGGCAGGCAGGCAGGCAGGCCAGCTCGCAAGAAGGCGAGAAAGCTGGAAAGTAAAACAACAAAGCCACAGACCAACCGAGCTAAGCAAGCAAAGCCAAGCAAACTGACTGACTCATTCACAAACCAACAAACTGCCCGGCCAAATCGCTGCTAGGAGCGGCGCAGAAGCTTTGCCAGCCCCACGCGCAGCTCTCTCGCCAAGCGCCCATCGGCGCCGCACGCGGCACCTTCGCCGGCGCCGCAAGTGGCGCTTTCGCCGGCGCGGGCGGCGGAGCCGACGCCCGGACCCAGCGCCTTGACGCGGCAACCTTCCGGGGATTCATGTTGACCCCAGTTAATTAGTAGGGGGGTGCTTCTCCCTGGGTAAAATGTGGGGAATCGGACCACTTTTGGAGGGGCCCCCACCCCCATGTTAGGACGCCGAGGTGTATTATTATGGGGGTCAACATTATTGAGGGGATAAACAACCAGCAAAAAGTGTGAAATACATCGAGCATGGACTTCTCCCCTCCAAACACGCCCTCAACCTATTGGATCTTCCGAGTCGGGGCGGGGGGTGTGGTTAATGGCCACATGTCCATTTCAACAAGCTCCCAGGGTACCCTCAAAAGAGGACACGCCCATTTGCAAAAGAGCGCGTGATATAAGCAGCACTTACCTGAAAAGTCTCAGCTGGTGCAATAGCAAGGTTGGACAAAGGCTGTTCTGCGGGCGAGTTTTCCGTTCACGCTTTTGGGACTCTTTGGGTGGCTCGTCTTTTCTTCGGGGGACCCAAAAAGTTGTGGTTTTCCTTTTGGTTCTCTTTCAAACCAACCAAAAGGGGATCGCTCAAAAAGAGAGGCACACCTTCGTGTACGACATCCGCACAGCAAGTTTTGTCCGGGGGCGATGCATTCGGTTGCGATCGCGATCAGCGGGCTGCACTGGCGACGGGTCCATCTGACGCATAGAGCGGGGCTGTGCGTTTCCGAGTTATGCGCCTAGCCCCTAGCCCCTTACATATGATCATCCTCAAGCGCGTTTGTTTGGTCCGGGCAGGCTGTGAAAGCGCACTGGGATTGAACAAGAGCGGCAGCCGAAAAAGGCAATGTTTATGTTGGAGCTCTCATCTTATTCCAGGGTCAATTATCTAGGGTCCATTCCCGATCCTCAGGGAAAACCAGCCGTGATTCTATGCCATTCATGATCTATCATTCAAAGATCCACGCATCCCCGAAGATGATCAACTCTTTTCCGATTGGACGCATCTTGGTGCATTTCCCGATTGCAGCCGCTTGGAGTTGCTGAGTGGCTGAGTGGCTGAGTGGCTGAGTGGCTGAGTGGCTGCGGATCAGCTTCTACCCTGCTCATCCTCTCCCTTTTGCAGATTCACACATTCCATACATCTCCCATAGGTGTCCTTTTTGGTAGTTCTGGCAGAAAAATAGATGGCGATTCCTGGTTTCCCTGGTGGTTGAATCATCTAACAGGGCCATCTATTTCGCCCAAAAGGACACCTATGACATCGCCCATTCCCAAAGAAAGATCGCTCCTTGGATCCGAGGCTTGGCTGCCCTGGCTGTGGCAACTCTGGGCGAGGCGATGGCATGGCGCAGATGGGGTAGGAGCTCACATCAGAACTCCCGCGGCGGATTCTGGGTGAGGTGAGTGGGTCAGATGAGTGGGCTGACTGAATTTGTGCTAGGGCTTCTTTCCCCAGAACCAGAACCCTTCAGGAAGGAAGCAATCGGCCTAAAAAGATCGGGAATAGCCGCTAGCGGACCCCGCTTGAAGGATACAAGGGATGGTGTCGTTCGAGGAGGTATTCCCTCATTCCCTGCCTGAACCAAGAGAAAAGCGCAAGGGGCTGGATGTGTGAATTCCACATCCCGACGCCAACCGACCATCGCTCTGATCCGCTTCTGTTGACCCATGAATTGGCAGGAAGTTCTCGGTTTCCGCATAAGGCGTCCAATTGGTACCCTCTAATTTTTGGTTTAGAGGAAGTTAAGAAACCCCACCAAAAACACCTCACTTTTGCGGGGTGCAAGCTAAGAACCCCCACCAAAAACACCTCACTTTTGCGGGGTTGAAGCTAAGAAACCCCACCAAAAACACCTCACTTTTGCGGGGTTGAAGCTAAGAAACCCCACCAAGAACACCTTATTGTCTTGGGCCAGGCGTGCCTGCCGTCTCCGGCACGGACGCCCGCCCACTGTGCTGTGCGTGTTGCGTGTTTGTGTTGCTGAAAAATGAAAAAAATGGCGGGGGGTTAAAACAGGAAGATGGCAAAGAGCACGAGATGGTCTGACTTGGGTGTGTCTCAACCCACATGTGGTGGCAGTTCCCCGATTTTCTCTTCAGCATCAGGCTGGCAGAAAATAATTGACGGACGAGTGAAAACACAGTTTGGATAGATTGAAGCTAACCATTTGGAAGATACATAGCAGTGCGTGGTTTTGACCTGGCACGCCGTTCTGTTGCAACCAGGTTGACATGAGCCCAAACTGAACTGAGAGAACGGAAAGTTGCGAATACGCAGTTGAGCTTTGGGGATTTTGGTTGACACGGGCGATGGGAAATCATGTGGTTCTACTCGACCGTCGAAAGATTCATGTGGCTCAAAATTTCACTTACCAAAATGGAACCCTGGTAAGTGGAAACATGGACCAAAACCTGCGATTTGCCCCGCCTGTTTAATTTTGAGCCACATGTGGGTCAGGGAGTTTCATGGAGGATTGGCCGAGTTTCCGGGAGCCAGCTGAGCGCCATTCCACCCCATTCCCAGAAGGACCGATCTTTTTTCAGGTTCGGTTCCTAGGTTGTGGTTAAGCCCTATATGAACCTTATGTCGGTGGGGGTGCCCTGGTTGAGTTTCCTAGTGATGGTGAACAGAGGGAAGTTTGGGCATGTTCTATAGATGCTGCTGTCATGTGTGTGTGTGTGTGCCCCCTTTTTTGAAGGTACCGTTTTTAGATGGGTGGTTGAAACAGCACAACTCTGCTTTTTGCAGTTCTCAAATGAGGATAGTTTGTTGAAGCGTTCAAACTGGTGGGTCCACTTTGGATCCAAAAAGGGGAAGCCAACGAAAGAAGACCCAGGAGTAAACCGTTTCCAAAGAGGAACCTGCAGTCTTGGTTCTTCTTCATTTTTTTGGGTGGGGGGGGGGGGGTGGGGGGGGGGACACCCCCGAAAAGAAGCCACCAGGCTGAGTAATCCGTTGACATTGAGTGTTCGCCACCCACTCTTGCCAGTGAAATCTGACATCAGGGTTTTGGAACCATCCTCTTTTGCCCTTTTGTGATTGACATAACCTCAGGTGGTATCCCCAACAGCCCTGCTGGAACCCTCCGGAACCCTCCCTGCAAGTTTCCCTGAAACACGCCAGAGCGAATTAGGGCACCCCAGTAGTGCCCGTTTACCCTCTTTTGGGGGAGGTCCCCCTACTAAAACAGACGGAAAAAAGGGTACCCGTATTCTATCCTCTCTACTGGAGGACCTAGTAATTTAGGCACCCCAATGGCTATCATTTGTCGGGGAAAAAGGTGGTCAGCTCCCATGCTGCTGCTACCTCTTTGCCTAAGGCAGGCTGCGAACCCAGCCCTGAGCGCGTGGATGAGGTGGGACCTGCTCAACCCCGCAAAACCGAAAGAAACCCAAAAAGGCATCCGAAAAGGGGAGTCCTCTACAAATGGATAGGTGGCTTCGGGGGGTATATGCTGGAAATGGAGGGTACGCCTTTGTTTCTATGCAGTACAGTTCTGCGAGCACTACCCAGTGACCGGAACGTTCTCGGGAGAAGAGGCTTTTGCAATGGTGTGAGAAGATGAAGGCTGACATAAAAACAAGAAGAAATGACTCAATTTAGCTGGAGGGATGGATGTAGTTCACTTGGGGATGTAGTTGCTGGATGCCGGATAGCCTCGGCTTGCATCGCAGTTGCAACAGGAGAAGTTAAATCTGACTTCAAAGTGCTTGGAGCTGACACTTTGTTCACGTCTTGATGTCCCCCCTAATTCCACTTATTCCCATCCCGCCATGTTTTTGTTGCGTTGAAGAAACTGCAAGGCCAAAGGCAACGTGCCACTTCTGGGTTTGGAAGCTGATGGCCTGCTACACACGTGTGTGTGTTTTTTCCTGCTGCATATCCTTGGCTTTGCAGCTCGAACTCCAGAGTCCTTCAACTTCTGTTAAGCTGCTTGACAAGTCAGCAATGATGCATAGGACTCATTCAAGGTGAGGCCCTGTCTATCCTTCGCAAGTTTCTTGTTCAGGAGACCTGTCCGTTGCAAGAAAAGCATGTGCCACGAACACGTGAACCATCCGGCGTGTGGGTGCTTCTGGGTGCCAAGAAATGCGAAGCATGCCGTTTCGGGTTCTCTTCAAGGGGCCAAAAACCCAAAGCGGGCCCCAAGATTGTGGCTGGACCTTCCCGGAATCGTCCAGGTGAGGAAATCATCGCCTCCACAGGCGTGGACGGAAGAGCATGTGTCCCGCAAGCAATTGGTTGGTTCCATCTAAAGATGGTCAACCCAGGCGGCACAAAATTTGTGGCGAGCGTGTCAGGTGCTCTGGAGGATCTCTGGGGCTCTTTGCAAGTGTTGGTTTCCTTGAATGCCATGTGATTCCCATGGCAAAAGGCCCTGGCGGAGGGAACTATGGGTGTGTGTTTTTACTAGCGGGTTGGTGGAGATGAATCGGGACCCAAACTCTATAAACCATGTCGGGTCCCGAATTCAAGTTCATGCCCCGTTCTATATGATGTTTGTTTGTGGAGTGTGATGGACGGGAGGCATGGTGTACCTCGCGCAGAAAGTCTCGCCATTTGTTAGCTGGTGCTGTTGGCGGGTGGTGTCGCTTGGACAGCTTTAAGTGGAAACCAAAGGCACCGCCTGTTGGAGATTCCCATCATTTGTCAACTCACACACACGACGTGTATACCTCAATATTCAATTGATAGCGATGTCTTCTGCACGTGGCCCGGGAATCTCTGACTCCGCCCACAAGCATTGCATCTAGCCAGGGGTCCCCGGGTCTGCTTGCCGGGGTAAACATCCCATCTTCGGGCCATTGTGATTGAGCTTCCCTTTGGCGGGTGAGGTCCCAACCCGAGCCAGGAGAAGCGACGTTCGAAGCCTCGGCCCATGATATGGTCGCAGCCTGAGACTCGCCCGCTCCCTCGCCCGAAACTTGCGAAGTTAGAGCAGAAACGTTGCAAAATTCACCTTTGATTTGGATACCCTCCCTTCCACTAACAGAAGGCGCCTACGGGAAGGCACCTGGAAGATCATTTCCCTCTTGTAAGGACCTTCTGGCAGATGCCATGTTAGTGGGAGTGAGGGTATCCCAAATTAGTTCTGGGCTGTGTAGATCAACCTGGGCGAAACAAAAAGCTTAGAGGAGACAGTTCGAACCGGAGCTAGCCTTCATGCATCCCACCCTGAGCCAGATTCAAAGTGTTCGTTGATCATTTTGCGTCCCATTCGGGCTCCTTTCCGTGTCAAACCACAAATTGGGACCCTTCAAAATGGAGGAGGGTGGGTTGGGGGGGGGTTGTTCTTCTTGTTGGTGTCCCCTTGTTGACTCTTGACCACCAAAGGGGCCTCGGCTTCCCTCGCTTCAAAAAATCCACACGCCCCAAGCGCAGAGGGATTCGTTGCGCCCGAGGCCTCACCCAGAGGAGGTGCCTGAGGCGGAGGAGGCCGGGCAACCGGAGTTCCGGGACTCGGACTTGAGTCACTTGGCTCAGACCAGCTAGGTCCCCCAGCTAGGTGCCAGCTGTTTCCCTTGGGGAGGAAAGGGGTGGCCGTGAGACACTTCATGGCCGCCAGGATTGTAAACCATGAGGGCCCTTGTCATGTGTTCGGTGCCCTCAATGCACCGCATGGGAGAGGTTGGTCCAGCGCAAATGGGGCGATCCGGAAACCGCTTTTGAGCTGGTTGCGACTAGAAGTCACGGCAAGCTTGGTCCATCCAGATGGTCCTTGCACCCCCATTCTCGAATGATTCCTCTCTTGGCCCATAGGAACTCAGGCGTTGGACAGAAGAAATCAATTCCCAATGGATCCCAAAAGTGGATCCGAAACTCAGTGCATCCAACTAGCTAACGTTGATCGGCTTCCCGAGCTGCAGCTGGGCGATGTCCAATGGGAAATTGGTGCGATGGCCACCTTCGGACCCCTTGGATGGGTTTTTCCAAAGAACCCACCTGTAAAAGCAGCTCATGAGGAGTTTCCAACACCCACTAGCTTCCCAAGTAGTGCCCTTGTACCCTTGTTTGGGGAGGGTTCCCCTACTAACATAGACTACAGAGAAAGAAAAAAGCAAAACGTATTCTAACCTTTCTACTGGAGGACCTAGCCCATGTTGAGAAAAAACTGCCCCAAGGCCACGGAGCCTTGCACGGTGGCAGGTCTGGAAGAGCTCCAGTTCCAGCCAGCGCGCTTAGCATCGAAAGGGGACTTCGGTGAACACTCGGTCGAATGCCCTGCCACCAATTCACATACAACCTGACGTTCGGGGGTGCCTGTAAAAGGAAAATGGTCTAAACTAAAACCCCCCAAAACGTCAGGTTGCATGTTAACTGGTGGGAGGGTAATTGCACGCATCATTCCCTTATGATCATGGCTAAATGTGGCTTTGCGTATATCGCAACCCCATTCTAATTGTGTAGGGCCATATATGAATGTTCCTCCAGAATGGACCACTTCTCTGGCGGGGTTCATGTTGGCGGACGGCAGGGAACCCGTTTATCCCCGAACTAATCATTGCAAAGGGTGGCCCACAAATATGGAAGGAGAATTCTCACAACTTTGGTCGAAGGGTTTGGCTCTTTGCCTGTAAATGTCAAAGTCAGAAACTGTAATTGCATAATTACGAGTGTCACAACGGGCCCAAACAAACTCCATGCGGGAAGGCAGTGCGTGCTTTGTTTTGGCTGAAAGGGTCCGTGGTTTCCGTTTCAGACTTCGCCAGTTCTTGCGCTAGTAAATCAACCCTGGGTGTGAGGCGATCAGTGCATTGTGCGCCAACTGCGCGGAAAAGGTGGGGCGTTGGGAGTTGGCTTGAAGGGCTGCTAGCTCATCTAGCTCCATTTTTACAACACAGTGGATAGGATCACACTGAGGTGTGTCCGCGAGATGTTTTTTGCCTAGGGGCTGGCTGGTTGCCCTGGGGTTGATGCCAGGTATGGCTCCCTAACCAAAGAGCAAAATGCAAACAAAACAAGAAGAAAGTGTCACACACAGAGGGGCGTGAGGTTTGCTCAAGTAGGCAAGGTGCGTCTTCTGCTGCTCTTGCTTCGGCGCTCTCACTTCTCCTCTCGCCCACAGGAACGGTTTTTAGAGAAGGACCGCCATAGATGGCTTTGGGGCTACGTGGATTTCCGACAGCATCCCGCAAAGACTTACCAACGAAAAAGGACGTCCGGTGGGCCTTATGGTGGGACCTGCAAAAAGGTCGGGAGGCTTCTGTTTGTTTGGTTTCCTGTAAACTCACCCCAAAAGAGGCATGCCCGCCTACCAACTCATATGGAGTTGCACAAAGCCCCTTGGAAAGTAGTCTTTTCTACAAGAGTCTATGCAGTTCCGTGTTGGTTGGTAGGGTACAAGTTACAATGCTCACAATGCCTTCCGAAAGACTTTCCACCGGCCAAAATCCACTGACTCGCGGCATTGCCAAGGACTCAAGACATATGTGGCGTGGTTGGGGAAGCTGTCGTTTTTTCTGCCTCAGTGGTTCCCAGCCGTCCGGTTCCTTAGGAAGTCACAGCCAACTCCAGGCAGCCAAGCTCTTGGTCAAATGGCTATGTGGCGTTGGAAGTTTTGTGCGATCAAATTTTCACCCAGCCTTCGGCTTCCTCAATCCCATTCCGTTTCTTTTTTTTCCGAGGCGAGGGAAGTCCGAGCGTCCCGAAACCCAGGTCGCGACGCTAGGTTCTACCTGGCGCCATGGGTTTTTTTTGGAGGGCACCCCTCTTGTTGGTGGTTTCAATCGGGAACCAAGAAGTAAAGCAATGATGGGGGTGCCCCAAAAAAGATACACCTGTATAAACCTTCATAACTTAACATTAACATACCCATCTTGGCATCAGTTTTGGTCGCTCCTCACATGGAGCTTGGAGCCTGGCAAATTCGTGGGATGTTTGAATCAAAGAGGGGTTGTGAAAAAGGTGGGTGAACAGAATTACCAATCGGGTTGTTCGGGCTTCTTTTCCCGGCAATTCTGATTGGTTCTTTGGCAATCGCGGAGTTTTCAGGGGGTTAGAACAGTGGGTCGTCTCAGAAATTGATCAGACCGAATTCACAGGAATTCACAGGAAGGTGGACTCGGCTACGTCCTTCGCTTACCCCTTGTGCTTGGGAGACCCCGATCTTCAAGGTTTTGCTGTGAGCAACGATCAATATTTACTGTCATCCATGGTAGTAAAGGGCATGACATGGTCCATACTCACCAAAATACCTTCAGGAAAAGGGGGGGGCTCCCCTTTAAAACCAACCAAATGGTGGTGACCCCCCCATTTAAAAAAAATATATAAATAAAAATGGCATGTGTTGTTCATTTGGTTTCCCAAAGGGTACTCACCAAAGTTCCATGTCATTGACCAAAAGGAAGAATGATCCAGCTTCTCAGGGACAATGTGCGAACCTACCCTCTTTAAACTCACGAAAGTGCAAAGGAGCTTCCCCCCCAAAAGGAGAGTAGTTTTCGGAAGCCCTCCTGTCAGCGGAGTTCGTCTCGCATCACGGGTCCATGAAAGCCCCATGTCCTTTCTGAACGTGTCTGCTTCTCAGGGAATGAGGCTGACATCCCTTGTGGCTCTCTGAAAGGGACTCCCCGAATTTCCGAAGACCCTTGTTGAATCCCTGAGAAGCAAGCTGAGAGCGCTTTCAAGGTTTGTATTTTCGCACAGAGAAGCTCCCAGAGCGATGCCTGGGTGTGCACGGCGCCTCTTTGGTACCAAGCTTGAAAGGGAAACCCAGCGGAAATCTCAGCGTCCACCATTTTGGGATCATCCTCCGCGAGTTGAGTCGCGTTCTTTGAGGTGCCAACGAGCCCGCGCAAGCTGAGGCAAGCCCGTGGTCGCAAGGCTGTGCAAACGCCAATAGCTTCCTTGGGCCGAAGACTATGTGTGATTTTCCCGTGTTCAGGTTTAAAAGGGAAGCTAGCACTACTGGAAACATGTTTGTTTTTTTCCTGGGGGCGAATCGGCAAATAAAGGATAAGCTTTGTTTCATAGGGCAACCTTTTCTTTTTGCAGGTTGGTGAGCGGTTATACTTCTTGAATATCACCAGTAAATCAGAGCACTCGCCGTTTGCATCCCAGTTCCTTTGGGAGCGAACTGCAAGACTGATCATGGCCCATTTGCATTCAACAACACGAGCAAGCACCAGTCCAAATACCCCCTTTGTGGTTTTGTTTGAGGGAGCTCTCAGTTGCAGGTTTGAAAATTCCGAAGTTCAGAAAGGATTGCTACAGCTAGCCTACGAAAAGGTCGGTCAGTTCTGAAGCCTTCTTGGGGTGTTCACATCCGTGAAGGGCCTCTGGGGTTTGCCTGCTGTTGCGGTAGCCCGAAACAAAGCCACCACGTCGAGCCCGGACCCTTACAACATGCATGTGTGTGTGTGTGTGCGTGTGTCAGTGTGTCTGTGTGTGTGTGTGTCCTTTAGTTGTCCACCGAAATTTGGAAACTTGGCCTTGGAACTTCCATAAACCGAAACGACATCAATTCATATTGCATCTCTTGGTCCCTGCAACGTGATGGTGGCCAATACTTAACCTCTTTTGTTTGGTATCTAAAGAGAAAACCCAAGTGGGATACAATTCAGTCAGCTAAGAAACCATATTGAGCTTCCCCTTGCGCCAGGCTTGGTTTCGATATGCACCCCTCGCTCGGATCCGCTCAGCCTCAAGCAACTCCTTTTCCACAGCCCAACCATTGGTGTTTGAACTTGGGATGTTGGACATGCTACCAGAGAATCCGTAAACCTATCCTAAACCCACCCTAAGCCCCAACCACCCTAAGCCAACCCCTGTTTCCCTTCTTACGCATCCAAACGATCCCTTGTTCGCTGAGTTTTGTTTGACTTCCCTTGCAACCAAACACAAGTTTAGCGTCCTTTCACCCGCTTCGACATCTCCTGCAACGTGAGATCGCAGGTTCCAGGAACCGAACTCCGCCCGGGCGCCTCAGTAAACGGCTCAAGCCGAACAGTTCGACTCGTGGGCCCAAATAGTGCGATGGGTGACTCGTCTTTTTTGGGAGGGTGCGCCAGTTTTATGTTTTTCAAAAAGAAACCAAAAGGAAAACCAAAGCCGTTTTGGAGGGCTTACACCAAAAAAGGACCCCAGATGGTTTTCAAGGCGAGCTGTTCGGAAACATCACGAATCGGCGGGCAAAGGCTGCTTAAATAAGACACACCCATTTCGCTGGGAATGTTAAGAGTCGGAACCACCCAAGTCAAGTGGTTGGACGTGAATGGCTCATTTAAAAACATGAAGGAATCTCCCAACGCATAATTTGCCTTTTCCCCTTTTGGGTTGCCTTCATTATGGCTTTCAACTGCGGATCTAGGTCTGGTCACGCAAAGAGCTGTTTGCAGGCCAAGAAGGTGTGCGCTGCGGCCTTTCTGGTCTTGGATGTGTTTGCTATTGAGCGACCAAGTGGGAAACCCACGAGGGACAAGCAGACTCGGCAGAAGAATGGGACTGTTGCCCTTCCCTGAAGGTTTCCACAGGAATGTGTGGAGTGAACATCGGCGATGGCTACAGTTGAAGCTGCAGGAACCAACTGTCTGCTTGGCCTCTCCAGGAACGGCTGCCAATTTTGTGATTTGGAACTCGGCCATCAAGAATCGAGGTTGGCCAAAGGCCCAGAAGTGGTGTGCTTCACGAATGAACAAGGCAGCTTAAGTTCAACTCAGATTCGAGAAAGGGTGTGCTAATGACAATCAACGACCCGCGGCTGACTTGGGCGCTTTGGTACTCTGGGGGCACCTAATCAAACGCATCTGAGTAGAACGAAGGGTCAACGGGTTTGAGCAATGCTCGCATCGCGATGGCAAGTTTTTGATTTCTGAGGAAGACGAGGTGCGGTGCCTGCATGGGCGGGAGCTTGCACGTTTTGGCGGTCCATAGAATGCACAGAAGGGGTTGGCGGCTTCGCCCGAGTGCCTTGTGTGCCCCTTTTTTTTTAAGTCACGTCCGTGCGCTTAGTGGAGATTCCCAATAAGAGCAATTTGCGAGCAAGATTGTTCAGAGCGATCAAGTTGCTGATTCCGTCAACTCAATGTGTAGTTTGGTTGGATGCCAATCCTGAAAAGAATGGAGCTGTTGTTGGTGCAGCAATGCTGCGGCTAGTACAGAACATGACCGCGCTGAAATATGTGTTTGTGTGTGTGCATGTGTGTGCGGACATGACTGATCAATCAAGTCAAGGTTTCGCTAGCCTGCATCATGTCAAGCGTGTGGTTTTGTCAATGTGTACTTCCCAAGCAAGAAGCAAGACATGGATGCAGTCTGATACACCTCCCCTGAACACTCACAGAGGTTACCTAAAAGGTATACTCCAGATTCAGTGCTCTTAGCGGTTCCATGTGAATATGCAATGCAAACTGAATGCCAAGGGGCTTCTTTTCCGGTTGAAAAGAACTCCCTGGGAAAGGTTCTAAGAACCTAAACCCTGGCTTCCATTTGTTTAAGAATATTTGTTATCTTCCCTTGTTTGTTTTAAAGGGAGTCTATCGCTACTGGAGGTTTTTTTTTCCTGGTGGCTTAAGCAAATGGAAGCTGGGATTGGTGAGACACTCTCTCGGTGCTTTTTTTGGGCGCCAGTGTTGGTTTCACAAGCTGTTTTCTTGCTGTGTCAAACTAAGGATTCTTCACGGTCTCAGGTCGCATTGAAGGTTTTCCAATGCATGTCATAACCTGCTGGCCGGTACCGTCGAGTCTCGTTGGTGTCAATCACTGCAACTCCGCGCGTGATCTTCGTTTCCTCCAAAAGTGGCGCAAGGCCACGTACCTTTGCCTCAGCCCTCACTGCCCTCATCAGATGGCGTTGATTGTTCATGGGGGAACTGCTCAAAAATGGTTGGACCTATTGCTCAAAGAAAGTTCGACACGAATCCTCAGCTCCGCCAGAGGATGCCCAATATCCAAATGAATCGAGTGTCTGTATGTGCGTATGTGTGTGTGTGTGTGTTCAATTTGGCGCAGGAGTCTCAGGAGTTCCTGAGTGACAACAGGCTGGATTCTGATTTGGATGTGGCTCGCCTGGTTCGATAGAATGAGAATTGGAACCCCGAACTGAAGCCTCCATTTTGGTGATCCCAAGCGGTTCACTCCCAACATCCCTGTTGAGTTGCTGAGAACCAGCAAGCTTCTTGGGATGCTGTCAGGCCACGTCTCCACGCACTGTTCGGTGTGCTTGGTTTGCTTGCTTGCACAACGTTTCCAAGAGACAAGCCGTCACAAAAGGAAGAAAAAGAAAATCCAGCGGTTGTACATCTGCCAATCAGCTACCCGCAGCATGACATAGTGCTCAGACGCTTCTGCACAAAAGACCTGAGCAGTGTCCCATTCCTTTGGCCAACTCAGAAAACGGAAGTACTCCCGCCATGGATGACGGCCTATGTCGATGTTTCGCTTTTGAGAGTAGCCTATTGGTTTGTGTGTGAAGGGAAGCACCTGTGTATGTGTATATGTGTTTGAGACAGAGCATGTGTTTGTGCATGTCCATCAGAGCGACTCTGCATGTTTTGCTTTGCTCGTGGTGTGTACGGATCTAGCTAAGCTGGCGCCGTTGTGGTTGACTTGATGGGCTTTCGCTCGCACGACAGGCGAGAGGAGTTCAAGGCCAGCGGATGGGCTGTTGTGTTGAAGGGAGGGTGGGTGCCCCAGCGAAACGACTTGTCTGTGCCCCAAGGAGAAGGCAAGGCAGGCAGCTAGTAGTTTCATGATTGGCAGATATGGCCGCGCACAGACCCCATTCAAAAAGGATGACAGCTTCAAAAGAGGCCAACTGACACGTGTTCAATCAAGACGGGTGCTTTGCATGTCATTCGAACTTTACCCGTCCCAAAGGAAGCTCGCACAACATTGGTTGGAGGCCTGGGCAGAGTCACAGCAGGTCAATGTCCTGCCTCATCAGACTCCCTTTATCAGGCGATGGAATTCTAGTTTGCCCAGAATTGTACAGGTCTTGCGTAGGAATTTACGTCCCACTTGGAATGGGTCAGACACTCCTGACAGTTGCATGGCGATCCCACTTAACGAGTCCATATCTCCGGATACAAAGGCGAGGATGAATCGCGCATGGGCTGACATTTTTTTTCTGATAGAGTACCCCCTTAGTCAGGCCACGTCTCTGGCCAGTAAATCCAACAAGCCACGCTCGCGATAGTAAAGCACTTAGGGAGTCCCTCTGAAGGGCTCGAGTGACAGGCGTTCCCAAGGCTTCCGCAGCTGGAGATATTCATTTTGACTCAGCAAGTTGCAAGCACCTTGAATGACTCACGTGTTGTACTTGGGAGCCCTTGACATCAAAATGTGTACAGACATTCATGTCCACCAATGGCTGTGCGAACCAACTCAGCCAAGCTGCGCAACAGATCTATCAACCCAACGCTGGACCTTTCATGCGGCAGCTGCTGGTCCTTTGGCCGCTGGCCCTCCTCGCCTCGCGCTGAAAGACGCCATGGTGCCCACACTGCGGCTGGGAGCTCGGGAGATGCCGGCGCTGGGCTATGGCGTGGGCACCGCGCCTCGGCACCTGACGTCCTGCTCCCAGCTGCCCGGTGGTTTTGTGTTTTTGTTGTTGTTGTTGCTGTTTTTTTTGGGGGGGAGGGGGGGGTGGGAGGAAGGGGGGAGGGTTCGGATGGAAACTTACTGGGCATCTGAGTTGTTAGAATTCAAGCCAGAATTAAATAGGTTCTTAGGATGCATCCGATGAACCACCTGCCTTGGAGGATCCTCAAAATCAGCTGAAAGGGTGAGGTTTGGGACACAAGGCTCCCAAGCTCCAGATCCCGTTTCCTCACGTGAGCTGACCTTTGGCAAATGTTTTCAGGGTTTTGATAGGCTCACCTTCTTCAATTGAAAGGGGTGAGAATGGGTGCTTTCGAGACAAGATCAAGAAAAAAGCTTCCCCATATCCAGACATCCTTCTTTTCAGGAAACCACCAAAAGTCCCTAGGCAAACAGTTGGTTCTTGGGAAGAACGATGGTTGAAACAAACGGGCAATCAACCCCGAGAAAAGATCCGCCAAGTTTGACTCTCTGGTCTTTTGAGGCCCTTGTTGGGCTTCAAGAGACCGCCAAAGTCGACCCCCGAGAACCCTGCGATCAGCCTTTTTCGGATGCTCCGGGGTGGCTTTGATTTGCTCTGTATCCCACAAAAGATATGTGGCAGGACGTAGAGTAGCCCACGGACCAAAAAACGACTGCCGGCATGTTTGAGCGTTTTGAGACCACGCGCACCCGTTTCACCGCGTATCACACACACTCCTGCCAAGTGAAAAAAACATGCACACACACACACACACACACACACACACACACACACACACACACACACACACACACACACACACAGCCGTTCGCCAGATGATGAGGATGCGCAGGTTCACGATTGCACATGCGGAGGCCAGATGATAAGCACACCCGCTGCACTGCACTCTTTGATGAAGGAAGGTTGGTTTGGTCTGCTGGCCTTCTCCATGAATGTTCAAACGAATGGTTGAAGCAGCTGAGAGCTTGCTTTCTAAAAAGTAGCTCATTCTCAGGCACCGTTGGCTAAGCTCTCAAGAAGTGGATGGGACAATGGTCGATTTGAGTGCTGGGGGCAAGCACGGTGGCTCCCTGTGTGGGTTTGCTTTGTTGGGGTCTCAACCCGATTCCTTCCATGTCCCTTACTTCCAAGGAGTGGAACGCTCTGATGGAAAATGGACTTGGACGCAACGAAGTTCCACAAACTGGCTTAGGGAATCGATGCGACTGGGAGACTCTGTGGTTTTCGTTTGGTTTGCGGATCGGATCCGATGGACCCGTTTCGGTGAGGGAAAAGACCATGGGACGCCACGCGGCCACGCGCGACCGAGGCCTGGTACAAAGCCTCGGGGGACAAGGCCCAGGCGCTGAAAGCCTCGCTGCAGATGGCGCCTCGGACCTCGGGGCTCGGGGCTCGAGACTCGCGGTCGAAAGCAGCGGGTTTTGCACATGTGCAGGTGGGTTACTGGAGTCTCCCGCACAATTGTGTTAGTTGGCTGCATAGGGCTGCTTGATTGGCTGAAAGGGGGACCTAATAGAAAGCCAACCATTGTCGCAGCCCTTCGTTTTGGAAGTACCCATTTAAAACTAGGGTCTGTTTGATTGAACTGCGAAGTTCCCACTTGCCCGAGGAAAGTTCTATCCTGTTCGGACACGCGGTGCCAGGAATTGTTCCGCAATCGAAGAACAGCCGTCATGACTCAAGCACATCTCCGAGCGGCAGTGCTTTTCAAAGGAACATGGGAGTTGATACGCATTGGACAAATGGCTATGAAATGCAGTAGGAGCACCCAAAGTGGTTGGCAGGCAATTTTCCCTATGACGGCGTCCAAGATAAATTCACACATGACATCATTTCCTAAACCTTTGCCAGTCGGTTGAGTTTACTTGCCCACGGTTTCAAAGTGACCATAGAGCTTAGCAATCCAGTTTCAGGTCTAGAAAATAGCGGTACTCAGGACTCAGAACTCCCTGGTTTCATAGGAGTGCATCCTGAAAAAATTGGCCTCAAAGGCTCTTAACTTGGAGACCGCCTGAAAAAAGATGCGTGGCATCCGCAAAAGGTGCTCGTAATGAGAACGGACGCAAAACGTGAAGAACAGGAGGGTTAGGCAGTTGTTCGGTGCTTTTATCGAATTCACACCAGCCGCTTTTATTTGGGTTCCTTGTTGTTGGACTCTCATTTGGATGGTTTTCCCTCACAGACGAAGCGAGCAAGCAAGTGAGTGAGCGACTGGTGATTCCAAAGACCCTTCAACGGTGTGATTGCAAACAAAACACCACGGGATGGGCAAAACAGACCCTTGACATGAATGAACCTCTCCAGAGAGAAGCGAGTGAGTGAGCAACCAGTGACTCGAAAGAAAAAGCCACCCTTCGATGGGGTGATTTTAACGAAAAAGCACCGCCGGGCAAGGAGTGTTTGCCAAAAATCGCCGCGCAACGTGATTCACTTAATGCACCAACGCCAGTCGCCGAAGCCTGACAGGCTGCTGACTAGGTTTATCGCTGGTTTGGCAGTCTTGCCAACGCGATTTTTGTTGATGGGATGTGACAGAGCGGACAATGGCAAACAGCCGCTAGTTTAGCCCATGTGAACATTGCGCGTCAGGCTGCGCAGGCCATAGCGGTTGAAGCTGATAGTGATCGTTGCTCACAGGGTGACACGAGTGCAAAGACGCCCCGGCGCGAATTCAAAAAATGCCAGGATCCCCAGGCGTGACTAAGAGGAACCCCCCGAACCCCCCAGCGCAAATTAGCACCGGGACCCCGGGCGAAATCAAAAGCACGCAAGGATCCCTAAGCGTGATTTTAAAGTATGTGATTCGAAGAAGAAGAAAAAAAGCGCCAAGGCTGCCAGAATCGCCCAGATCTAAACGCTTACATGCCAGCATTATGAGTTGAGGCTTGATCAAACCTGCTTGCGCTCAGTAGGAGTGGGTCAGGGTGTTGGGAATGAACCCAGCGCTTCCCAAGAACCAGCAAGAAAATGCCCTACTGGCTTGTCTTGGGCGATTTCCAAACCTCCCGGGCGGCCAGCATCGCATCCCTGGCTTTTTGTGTGCACCTCCCATCTCGGACTTCGCCGAAAACCCAAGGCTTTGGATGCTGGCGTCCGCCACATCGACGACGCTGAGATGTACCAAAACGAGGCGTGCGGATGGAGTCAAACCCCAGTCAATAGGGCTGGGCTCCGCCTAGGGGTCTTGGGTGGTTCAAGGGAAGCCCCCTGGTCTTCCAAAGTTCGCACTTCCAGATGACTCAAACCATTGACACAGACCCGCAAGCCGCTCGCTGACTTCCTGAGGCTTCATGGCGAGCCAGACTGGTCATTATAGGAATCGCCTCACGCAATTCCTTTTCACGTTGATTGTTCAAAGCATTGGGTTAAAAGCAGTTGTTTGTTTTGGTTTAAATAAATTGCCATCGTTTGTTCCAAGCGGGAGAAAGTATGCGTAGCTATCAGAACCTGAACTATAGTTTGCCCAAGCCTAGGGTGGATTGGGCCAAAAGTTCGCCAAAGTTTTGGCGAAGCCGCTCAAATATGATCTTCCCAAGTACAAAGTCCATCGAGAGAAAAGTCACTGGGAGCCCCGCATTCTCGAATCCATCCTACTAATCCGGGGTAGCACGGTGTCATCCTTCAGAGTGATCCGGATTCCCACTAAAAGGGGGACACCCCGGATCAAGATCAAGCAAGGGCTACCCTCCCACCAATGAACATGGAGCCTGACAGAACCCCGGTGCCTTACAAGGAGAATGCTCCAAACCACGACCCCCCGAACGTCTCTTAGTTGATCGAAACGGTATGTAGACCGCCATACTGGTCTATTGGGACCCCGAAATCGACCAGGTTTACCGCATTCCGCGGTGGACCATTCCCCCCCCCCCCCCCCCCCGCCCCCGTTTTCCACCGAGGTGGTCACCGGAGAGGCGATCCGGCAATGGCTGGCGAGAACCGGCACCAAGCGCGAGGAACCGGGGTTTGGTTTTGTTTGTTTTTGCGGTCGTGGTTGGGAGGGCTACCCCATCTTGGTGAGTTGAAAAAAAGGAGCAAGAAAAAAACACGCTGGTGGGTTTTACACAGC